CCCCCCTTTCCCAGTCAACACAATGTTTTCGCCAAAATATTGGTGACAAAAATTAGGAGTTCTTTGAGAAAACAGAAGTAGTCACTGAATGGACATCATAAGGAAATCAATGTTGTTGTTCATTTTTAAACATTATGTGGTCGCTTTTAAGCTCGAGGGGACTATCCCCAAAAAATGCTATTTGGCGAAAATCGAAGGTAAAGTTTTTGCCCCTTGTTCAGTTTCTTTAAAAGACAAGGAGAGTTTTCTCTATAACCAAACAAATATACACACCAAAGAAACCAAACGTCTCCTATAGGTAGGGCAATGCCCACTTTTGTATGAAAATTTCTGTAACCCCCCGAAATCTGGATTAGCCCACTTGTCCTTAAGGTGACCATGTTTCTTTCCACCACTTGCCATCGCCACAGTTTAGATCAATTAGGAAGCGGGCTTTGAGCATGCCTGTCATGGACAGCCAGGCTGAGATACATACAACAACGCCCCAGTAGACAAACCGAGATACTAGATTGAAATTCTCCCCACTCGGTATTCGAACTCGGGTCTCCTGCATGCGACAACAAAGCGCCCTACCGCTACACCACAGACGCCAGCTGGTGAGCTCTTCATTTAAAAAAAAAATGTTTTAAGACTTTTGCAATACACGCCAGTATATTTTAGATTCTGTAGACACTAAATCGTTGTATTAATTGGTCGCTTTTATTTACGGACAAGCGGGCTAACCTATATTTCGATGGTTTCCAGAAATCTTGACCTTCACCAGAAGTGGGCATTGCCCTACCTTTAGGAGAAGTTTGGTTTCATTGGTGTGTATATTTGTTTGGTTATAGAGAAAACTCTCCTTGTCTTTTAAAGAAACTGAACAAGGGTCAAAAACTTTACCTTCTATTGTCTCAAAGAACTGCATTTTTCGAGATATCTCCCTTGTGCTTAAAAACGAGTAATGAAAAATAGTAATCGATAAACCAGGCGCTAATGAGATGTACTTTAGAACAATCAGGGTGCGCGTATACAGCACGCAAAATGTCATGAAAATCGAACAATTAATCGTGTGTGAGAAAATCTTGCTTCAAATATGTTGACGATTACCTAAAAAGGCTATAGTAATCAAATATGTTGACGATTACGTAAAAGGGCTATAGTAATCAAATATGTTGACGATTATGTAAAAGGGCTATAGTAATCAAATATGTTGACGATTACCTAAAAGGGCTATAGTAATCAAATATGTTGACGATTACGATATATATATATA